TTTCCAAGGCTCTCAATAGAAATTTGTATTTATGATTTTACAAGATTTAGAACCCACAAAATCAGGATCTGCCATGGGTTGTAGACACCTTACGGCAGGAACAACAACAACAAAATTGCTATTTTAAGAAGTAATTGCTATAAACAGAAGCTAAAAATGAGGAAGTTTAAATTATTTTGAATGGACAATGAGGGAATGAGAAGCCTCACTCTAGGACCAGAAGGATTTGAGGGAAACACCAGGAAGAACTTTCTGGGCAATTTAATCCCCTCTTTGAACCCACACATCTGGTAGAACTACAAAAGCATTGATTTTAAACCATTTCCATACTGCCCTCTCTTCCTCTCCACCCACCCGCTTCGTCGAGGCTTTGTTGTAGCAGCTCAGTGTTTTCCGTCCTGACTTTACAGTCGCTTTCGACACTGGTTTCCATGCCCCCTTCTATCCCACCTCCTACACTGAGCCAGAGAATCTTTCTGAAACACAAATCAGGTCACTACCATGCTTAGAAACCTCCATGTCTTTTGTCACATCCACGATGAAGTAGAATTCCATAGTATGATGCATTTGGCCTTTTGGTATCTGGTTCATGCCTTCTTCTCCCCCTTCTCCCTTTGCTCATCAATCCCTGTTGTGGGTTAAATTGTGTCTCCCCCCAAAATATATGTTGAAGCCCTAAGCCCCAGTACCTGTGAATGGGACCTTATTTGGAAACTTTCTGGATGTGATCAAGTTAAGATGTGGTCCTGGATAAGGGTGGGCCCTCCTCTAATGACTGGTGTCCTTGGAAGACAAAAATTTAGACACAGAAACACAGACACACGGGGAAGACGTCATGTGAGGACAAAGTGATGTGTCCACAAGCCAAGGAACACCAAGGATAGCTGGCAACCACCAGAAACTAGGAGAAAAGCATGACAGATTCTCCCTCAGAGCCTCCAGTAGGAACCAGCCACGCCGACACCTCCGTTCGGAATTCTAGCCTTCAGAACTGTGAGAGGATCCAATTCTGTTGTTTGAATCCAGGGGAGCCTTGGGAAAGTGATACACTCCCTCCCACAGCCGCACTTCTGACATCCTGGGCTGCCCACACCTCCACTTGCTCCTTCTTCTGACTGGACCACGTATCCCTTCCCCGTTCACCTTCAAACAATCAGTTCAAACATCACATTCTCCTGTGGGAAGCATCCCCTTCCACCCCTTATATCCAGCTAAGGGACCCCTAGTGAACACACCCATGCTCCTGTGCATAATACTAGCAGAGCAGGTCAAAAGTGATCAACAGTGTAATTGCTACATTTCTGTTGAATGTTGTACCGCATAAAAATGACTTCAGTATTGATTGTAATATA